TTTCTTGTGGTAAAATTAAAAAGAAAAAGAAGCTCATACATCATAAAACGTGACAATTCCCAGAGTAGTTCTTTTGGGGCTCCTTCTACCAGAGTTGTAACACTGCCAGGCAAAAGGAGAAATGATGTTAATCACCCAAACCCTAGGCAAACACTATATCTTTTTTGTGAATCAAGTTTAAACAGAAGTTATGCAGGAAGGACCAAGTCAAAAAACACTTTTTCCAGATGTCAGAAAAATTGAAACACACATGAGGGAAAAAAGCAGTGTTACGAACTTTTAGCTTGATATATCTGGTAGGTGAAAGAACTAATACAGTAAAGAAAATGTTTGCATAGTGCTGCTGAGTCTGCTCTAGACTATAATACTGGTCGAACAGCACTTTCACCAAACTTTTCTTAACCATGCTGCTGTTTGAAGAGCAGAAAACACTGGGAGGGGGAGAAAAAGAAAAATCTAAATGTGAATACAAAGTTCTATTTACTGAGATAAAGATTGAAGAAATAGATATAGATATAGAAAATGCTCCTGAAATATGTTCCTTGTTATAAATAAACCATGTTGCCAGCACTTAAATAAAAAAAAAATAAAGTAAAATCCCTGTTGAGAGTCATAGGGGAGCAATACCATGGCCAGAATATCTGCTGATGCAGCTGAACTATGCTTAAGACATCTGCTGAGATGAAACTACTTTGTGGATGGAGGTATTAGGGGAAAAAAGTTACTTCAACAAAAAAACAGCCAGTGTGTGAAAACAAAACCACACCAAAATGTAATGGAACGTGCGCTTCTACAACTGTAGCACCACCGTACAGTAGTTATTCCATCAATCTACCTGCCTTAGAAGTGAAGCAAAAGATTGTAAAACAGGCTGATAAATGCAGAAACCTCCCCCACAGCACCGCTTTCTGCAGAAATCTCAGATCCTGAACAGTTGCCGGCTGTTAAAGTGAGAATCAAAAAATAAGTGGGATTCAAAGAGCGCTTCTTGAAAACGGATTCCTTGTCCAGCTTGCCACCGAAGTGCTGAGTTCAGAGCCCCCGAGCTCTGCCTGCTCCGTTCGTTCACACCCAAGTCCATGGGAGCAGCGCAACTCCCAGCCAGTGCCCCGGGTCAGAGTTATGCCGCCAGTGGCAGGCCGGAAGCACAGAACGCAGGCAGCCGGCAGGTATGCGTTGTCCTTGCCGGCGTGAGCCTCTTAAGCAAGGGTGTGTTTTCAAAACAAGTTCCTTAACTTGGAGCATCTTTTACTTTGGTTTGCGAGCGGTTTGATGTTGGCTTCACTGCAGCTGATTCTTTCATGGCTGAAGCTACACCAGGCAAACTGCTTGACCAGAATGGGCAGAAGCACCTCATTTTAATGAAACTGGTTTAAAACCCAGCTTCAACAAAACACAAGCAGTTTCTCTGCACAAATCATATCTTGCCTTTTGAGGGCTGCAGCCTTCCATTTAATTTTTACAATGAGTACAATTCTGTGCACTTCTGCTGTAAGGAAAGTAGGAATTCACGTTATTTCTCACTTTAATTGCAGTATGAACTCTTTTAACTCCCACTTTGTAAAACACTGCGTAACTATTATTAACAATAGGTCAGGGCTTAACCAACAAGGGACAGACTGGCAGATCTAATGCACACATACACTGGAGATATAATTCAGGAATACTGAGGAATAGGGATCTCCTCCTTCAACCAAACTCTCACTTGGAACAGCAGAGGGTTTCTGTAAGCCCCCTTCTCCCTGAATACCTTTCTCTCTGGTTTCTTCTCTTGCCATCTAAAATTATCACAACATAGCTGTTGTCTCAGGTGTCACTCTATAAGCATCTTCACCCTGACTTGCTGTTTTCCCCAGAATCGCCTACCACAAGCACTTAAAAAATAGTTTCCAGCCACCATACGTAGAGTCCCCATGTTCCCCTTTTCTGCCAGCCTAATAATATCTTTTGCCTTGATTCTTGGTTTGTCATGGTTTGAAAATATGAATCAAATCCAAGATTATCTTCCAAGTCTTGCTTGGTACTTGAAATATTTGGTATAATACTGCAGCAGGAGCTGCACAATTTTATCCAGGAGCAATTTAGCATTCAACTTCTATTCATTGAGCCTCTTACTCATATGTGCCTTGAGTATGCCTTGGACAGACTCCATGCATCTTCCTGGGGTTATAGGCCACCTCAGTCTTTCTTCTTGGTGCTGTTCTGCCATACATAAATCACCAAAAGCTTCACTGTGTAGCAGGAGGGCTTAGATGTGTTTTAATCTTCATGGCACTCTGTGTAGGAAACTGGTGCCAGCAGGAGATGCTCCATTTGCACTTGTGTCACCTAGTGGTGAGGGCACAGCCTGGGGAGGTCAAGATCTTAGTACAACAGGACTAGAGGTGTGTACATGCCATGGCCATGGTATCATAGGATAAAAAAAGCACATTTCCCCTGTTTCCCATTTTGTTTTTCACATCTAGTCCTTTTTCTTCTTTGATTTGCTCATAGAATCATAGAATCATTAGGGTTGGAAAGGACCTTAAGATCATCTAGTTCCAATCCCCCCTGCCATGGGCAGGGACACCTTACGCTAAACCATATCACCCAAGGCCTCATCCAGCCTGGTCTTGAACACTGCCAGGGATGGAGCATTCACAACCTCCCTGGGCAACCCATTCCACTGCCTCACCACCCTAACAGGAAAGAATTTCCTTCTTATATCCAATCTAAACTTCCCCTGTTTAAGTTTTAACCCGTTACCCCTTGTCCTGTCACTACAGTCTCTAATGAAAAGTCCCTCTCCAGCATCCCTATAGGCCCCCATCAGATACTGGAAGGCTGCTATGAGGTCTCCACGCAGCCTTCTCTTCCCCAGGCTGAACAGCCCCAACTTTCTGAGGCTGCCTTCATACGGGATGTGCTCCAGTCCCCTGATCATCCTCGTGGCCCTCCTCTGGACTTGTTCCAACAGTTCCATGTCCTTTTTATGTTGAGGACACCAGAACTGCACACAATACTCCAGGTGAGGTCTCACAAGAGCAGAGTAGAGGGGCAGGATCACCTCCTTTGACCTGCGGGTCATGCTCCTTTTGATGCAGCCCAGGATACAGTTGGCTTTCTGGGCTGCGAGCACACACTGAAGCCAGCTCCTGTTCATCAAATGGGGAAATGTCATCTCTTCTCATATGAGATATTCTACTCACTCCAAACCACATTCAGGGATTTACTTCAGCTAGGAAACCTGGGAGAAAATTCCAGGTGAAGCTAAACCAGTTCTGTTGCCTGATTTTATTCCTCTAGAGAGACCTAGGTGGCCAATCAAAAACCCAGTTTCTCTAACATTCCAACTGGTACCTTTTTACCTGTACAGAAGGGTGAGGCCCTGGTGTCCCAGGTGTGCTATGCATTGCACAAACCACAAAAGGTCATGAGCTCTCAGAAGGAGGATCCCCCAGATAATTCATCGACCAGTGGGAGCTTTTCTTCTGATGATGCAATATGTGAAACTTAAACTCCCTGCTAGAGCATTTTAGTGAATTAACAGCTCAGAAAATGCTCAAAGTCCCCTGTTTGTGTGGAAAGCAGTTGTAGCCTCTCTGATTTACCTCTGGTCCCTTAAGTAATATTCAATTACTATGGTAAGGTTCATTACTAAATACTTGACAGACAAAAAAAAGGTAATGACAGTCTTATCACAGCAAGTCTTGCTATGCCTGTTGGTTTTCCTTACTGCCATTGCCTTCTGGTCCTGTTTACTGGGAAACCTGGCTCATCTGCTGCTTTTGCAGAACAGAGTAATGCACAGTTGGGGGATTCCCTGCTGGAAGAGCTATTTACAATTTAGTTGTAATCAGCACAGTTTGTACAGGGTTTTTGCTACATGTATATATGTGTGTACACTCTCTCCTGAACCTAAGGTGGTGCTTATATGGCAGCTTGCAAAACAAAATAGTAAGGACAAAAATAAAGCTTCTATGTGGGTACTTAAATATATCTCTAAGACACAGACTTTTTATCACCTACTGATGAATATGAACGTAAGAAACATACAGGCAATTAGAAAAAGTATACCAAAAAGCAGCTAAATGTTAGTCATCCTAAAATTATTGGAAGACAAAAAAGAAGACATTTTGTATTAGGTATACCTTTTTGGTCATAAACAGAGAATAGGTGATAACATTATGCAGATGGTCTGTATCATGTTTTGATAAACACTTAATAGAAATGCTTTCAGTTCTCCTACCACCAAATAAGTGATACGCAGATGGTCTTGGCTTAGTGGCCATTTCAATGGGCAAATTCAGTGGGATTCAATGTTATGTTTATCTGTATTGGTTGCTTATCCATGTTCCAGTTCCATATATAGTCCTTTCAAGTATCAAGTACCTGCTAACTTAAATGGCAATCCAGAACATAAAAGTTTTGCAACTCAGTCAGGGAGGTTGTACTTAAACCTATTGTAGGACTGCATTCATATCAAGAATATCTTATGACCTAAGATGACTGTTCCAAGATAAATTCCTTCACAACAGACAAGTGATGTCTGACATCAAAATGATAAAAGTATTTTTTCTCCTTTCTAGGAATCACTGTAGCTAATTTTCAATGCTTAGAAACACTCATGCAGGCAATATGCACTTCGTTCGTTGTGAGTAGGTACATGCTAATCTCTCACATTAGAGAGCACCATGTCCCAGTGGCACATTCTTCACTCACCTAAATGCTTTAGTGAGAAGGGTTCTTCATACAGCTCAGTGCTGGAAACTGGAAAAATAAAATCAATCAAGAAACAAAGAAATGATGCAGAGACAGAGATGCTAAGAATTTCCATTAATATAGGTATGCTGGTCTTTTCCACCCAAACAAGTCTTCATGCTACTGTAACTATTCAACTGATTTTACGTCAAAAGATTTGGCCAGATCTGCAAATATTTTTCACCACATTTTTGTGGTTTTCACTCTTTCAACCCATTTTCTGCTATGGAATTAATTTACAAACAATGTGTCTTGTCCTCCAAGTAATCGTATGTGAAAGATAGATACCCTATGCAGTGAAGCATTTCATGCCGTTCGTGCCACCCAGTCTGCCCCCTGGAGACTTGTTCTTCTAAAAACTGTGTTTATGTTTCCATTTTTATATAGTATTTGAAGCTGAGAATTTTCTTATAAATGCTTGGCATAACCTTTTCATTAACCATGGTATACTTCTCACACAAAGTAAGAGGCAAAGAAGAGAAAATTATATGAACTTATTTGTTTATGGTGTTTATGTCATAGAACATCTGGTATTAGCTTTGATTTAAATATCCTTCTGATATGCTAGAATTTGTAAAATTATTTTGATAAAGAGCATTTGGCCTACACATCTTGATGTGTGTGGTAGTAACACAATAGTTCCTGAGAATTAAAGTATACCATTTTTTGACAGAAGAAAAATTTTTTGGTGGTATTGTAGATGGCGTCTAGTGTCACGTACCTAGGACTAGCAATAATACCTCTAGTATGACAAAGCTAAAACCATGACACACTTCCACCATTTTAAGCATACTGGCACATGATTTTAGAAGCATTGCTTCAGACTAGGATAAATATAGATACCAGACACAACTCCACATTACTTGTCCTACCTCTATAATGAAATTTAGGGAAAGGCATATTCCCCTGCACTCCCAGAAGTTGGTAACAGCCTTCCTGAAGGGTGGGTTTGATCTTCGGAGGCGCACGTTTCCATTACAGCTTTTCTCAGCCTTTTTGCACAGCTCTGTTGGGAAGTGCCTTAGTTGGACCTTCTGAACAAGCTCTTGTTTTCCTGCAATAAATAATCTCTGCTTATTCAGTTCCACTTAGCTTCACAAGCTCGCTCTGCCCTCTTCCTCCTGTTCTGCTTCTGTTCCTGCCACCTGTCCCCAGAGTTATGGCTTCGGCAGCTGAAATCCACCTCTGTCTTCCCCTATCACCTCACAGTCAGCCGAGGGCACTGAAAACTGCACCAAACACTTCCTTAGCACCCATGTTACCACGCAAGAGACATGCTGAAAGTTGTGGAAATTATTCAACATATGGTTTAGACTCATGGGGGTTGGTTGGGCACCAAAAGCAGAGATGCCAGTAAGAGAACAATGCGGTTCAGGTTCAAGGTTCAGACTAGGGAAATAACTAACCTGAGATAAGGAAAACCAGCCTTTCTTGTGCTATTACTATAGAGGAAGTTTCATGGAGAAGTCTGCTTTTCAAACAGAAGGGAGATCCAGACAGGAAGAAAATTTGCAAGGACAGCTGATACTGGAAGAGGAAGATGGCATTTAGGATTTGCAAAATCAGCAGGCAGTTTTTGGATACAAGTAGCCCATATGGATGGAAGTATCCCTAACAGTCCAAAAAGAGGAGGTGATGCAATTGCTGGGTGCGTTGCTTGCAACCAGCATTACTGCAACAGAGCCACTCCAGACAAAATCTCATACATGGTCCTTGCAAGGTCCTTCTTACTTCTTTGTATGGGCTTTCCCCATCTGCTGCCAGTTGGGCAGAAAAGAAGTCACTGGAAAGCCTCAAGTCAGCTTCAGCAGTGTGACAAACGAGATGCTCTTTCTTCTTCCTACTCCTCCCCAGGTCTGGTGTGTGGGGCCCAGGTTTTGGAGGTGTGAGGAGGCCATGCAGGACCCTTGGCCACCCCTGGGCAGGCATGAGGACAGAAACCCCTACCCTGGATGCCCACGGCAAGCTGCGGTGCACCTGACCCATTCAGTGCCCTCAACCCCAGCACTACAATCAAAGCAGAAAATCAGGAATCTTCATCCATGGCTGAGTTTTTTTTAAGCCTGGGAGTTTCACATTTTCTAGATTTTCTCCATGACCACAACAGTTAAATATGTATTTCCTTTTTAATTTAACCAGTGCTGGACACCTGTCTTCTGAAACTGGGACTTTAATTCCCCCTTGTTCCCAGCTAGTCTCTCCCTTCTGTATCTCCTCCTCCTCCTCTTCCTCCCCTACAGCATCCCAGCACTCATATTTAGGAAGATTTATGCTGGAGCTGTCAGCAATATATTAGGAGCAGAAGGTGATATTCAAGTAAAGGCCAATGCAGTGCAGAATTGCAGAGCTGGATGCAAGAGCAAACAGAAAGGAAGCACTTACCATAAGGTGCTTTGCATCAGAGCTGGCTGTACATTTTTCATCTAAGCAAATTTTCACTGAAAATTATTCTCTTCTTGGTCAAACTTTTCATGAGAGGTGTCTGCTTTTGCATTTTGACTTCAGATAACTGAAGGCTACAAAACAAAAGATATTCCAATCAGCACAAATTCCAGCTTTCAGCCAAATTGTGTTTGACAAAAATCTGTCATTTCTCAGGGAAGAAAAGAACCTTTTTTCATCCAGTACTATTTTATAAGCCTACAGTATACAATGCCTATTGTTTTTAGTGCTGTTAAACCTCTTACCGTATTTCAGTACTGCAGCTGGCCATCATGCTTGTATTTGTATATTGAATATCTGTGGGGTAGATTACTTCATTGCTTTGTATCAGTTCCCCAATTGGAAAGGGGACATACGTCTTGTCTGCTCAGCTGATAAGCATAGTGACTGCTGTCTCTTACTGTGCTTGGGTACAGCGCCACCTAAAATGGGTCACCAGTTTCAATGGGTGCCAATGTTGTGCTGATGTCATGCAAGCAATAGAAAATAATACTCTTATTAAATGAGTATCTTCTGATCAGCTCCAGAGCAGGCAAAGAAACACATGCTCGGAGTTTTTTTCCCAGAAACAGGCCACATGAAACAAATCTCCCTGGTTTTCTAACAGTGGCTGATGTTCATAAATCTATGTATGTCCATGCTGTTTGCTGAGCACAGTGAGGACAGGGGTATCATGTGAGATTATTTGTGCACTAGTGATAAATATCACATTGGTATGAGGAGAACTCAATACTCATTCCTTCCCATTCCTCCAACAGCTCTCCAGATCATTCTGTCTCTTTTTTTTTTCTCCTTTCTCAAAAGTATTTTATTTTTTCCACTGTTAGTAGGAATCTCCATTGTATAGTAGTGCCATTGCATGGTAGCTGCTCTAAACATGCTTCCCTTCAGCAGGTCTGAGCTCAAGTTTACCATGCAGAGGAACTGTATTTGCAGGACTATTATCCTTGAGTGTTCTTCCCAGAACAAACCAGTTTAGATTTGCTGTCTTCCCCCAGAGGACAGAGGCTGGTAGAAGAGGTCTGGAGGGGCTCCAGCAGTGCTTGCATGTCCCATCCCCATCATAGCTAGTGCAGGGCAGTAGGAGGTTTCTGCCCAGTCTGCCGTTCATGCATTGACCAAATCCTGAGGTCTCCACAGAGCCACTGTGTAACAGTACCAATGGTACCGAAGTGTGGATGATACTGTCTGCTTGCTTTACTCCTCCTGCCTCTGCTTTCAGGTCCTGAAAAGGCTCTTCCACTGGCTTCCCGCTGAACTTGAACCCTCAGACAATAAGTAATGCAGACCAAGTTCTGGAGGTGTGCAGGAACAGTTTAGCACTCAGATTCGGGACTGAGCTCTAAACAGATTGCGGTAGTTTGGTGCATGTAAGGGTCCTGATAGCAAGGGATGTTACAGTCATACAAAACTTGCTGGCTCCCTTGCGTCTCACGTCTACGTATCTGTTGTAATTGGCTTTGGTTGCATCTCTGAACTTTGCCTAAAGCACGTAACACTCATGAATCTGCAAAATTGGACTGGAAGTCTCCAGAGAAGAGGATTACCCAGGAGAATTTTAGTATTTCCTGCTTCCAATTGGGCTGGAACCAACACAAAACCAGCTATAACAGTATTTGGCTCTTGCACGCCTGGTCCCAGCCAAAAGGCAGGAAATTTAGAGGTATGTAAAGATGAAAAATAAATGATGGGAGATTGGGATGAGGAACAGAGCCAAGGTTTTGAGAAACTAAAGGGGAAAAAAAATCAGTTGGGTCAGTTCTTACTTGTTTCTGAAGCATTTTGCTAACCTGCAGGGCTAGGTCCTCCCCTCTGCATGACACCTGGACTTTCTTACAAAAGAAGAATCCCTAAAGGCTAGATCTGGGGGCTTTGGCACTGTTTTATACCTCCCTGAAACAGAATAAAACTGCCAAGTCAGACTGGGATCTACCCCAGAGTTTGTATTAATTAAATTATTTATTTAGCTGATAATTACAGGCTCCCTGGGCCTCACTCTCCTTGTACACACACAAGTACTGTTTGGAGACCTCTGCTGAATTCAGAGGAAAATGTAATCTTCTCACTGTTCTTCAGCAGACCTGGCAACTGTTAGAAAGGCCATAACAACTCTGCATTATTACAGATCCATACATAAACACAGCATTTCAGACAGAAACCACCTATCAAGATGAACAGTGGGAAATTGTTTTGTGTGCATGCCTGGAAATTGAGTGTTTAGATGTAGCACCGCAGTTTTTTGCTGCTTGTGACCTCCCTCACCAGCACAACAAATTGCAATTTGTCAAGGGCAGGGATGGATTTGTACATCTATGGAGCATCAACACAGGCTCTTGGGCTACTGGTTGCATTACATAGTTGCATGCAAAATAGAAAATTGACCCTTTTAATAGCAAGCAAGGACTCCAATAGCAATTACAGGGCATCCCAAGCAGTTTGTACCTAGTTACATTAAGGTGGTGATGCAGATGGCAGAAAGAGCCCTGTGGTTGTGGAGGTACCTGGCAAAGTGCTACACTAGCCTCTCTGGATCAGTTCAGCCCGGCTGGCACCATACTGTCTGCACCTGTCAGGAGAAAGCCTGGTTAAGGACTGCTGCTCTATACTCAGAACTGTCAGTAGCTTCTTTTCCTCTCTTTGATACACTCAGAATTGTATCCTGGCCAAGTAGGCCAGGTTGAATGGGGCTTCAGGCAACCTGGAACCACATGATCCTTTAGGTCCCTTCCAACCCAAATCATTGTATGATTCTATGATTTATATTCTTAGAGCCAAACCTACATATATTATGTATTTTTGCCTTTACTCTTGGGCTGGGTAATCCAGTGTAGACTAGGGGCATAAAGGTCTCATGTGCCATTACTATTTGTATAAAACACCCTGACCTACTAATAATAGTTCACACTAGGTGATGAAGGGGCATCTCTTTGCTTTTAAGCTATATGTGACTGCAAAGTGTGTAAGTGCAGCTCTTCCCCTGAGATAGTGTCAAGCAACCAGCAGCTGAGGCTGCCAAGGAATTTGCTTCTACAGCTGGGAGAGAATGTGGATAAGGATGATAGCTCTGGTCAACACCACTGATAACCCCAGCTGCCTGCTGCATGCTCAGCACCAGGCCATTGGGCAGCATGGGGGTGGTAACTCTGCAAAGATCCTGCTCCTGGGTCTTCCATTTCCACAGCCCTCTGGCAGATGAGAGGACTGATAGCTCTCAGCTGTTTCTGTATTTTGGTATGCAGCTCAGAAATCTGGCTATATCACTCTGTTGAGTCAGACCATGTGTATCTTGATAGCTGGGGATGTTCATCCACTCCTGAAGAGAGGGAATAATCTAATTAGATTCTTGCTAGCCATAAATTTGGAGTAGTCACAAGTAACATAAATAACTGAATATTTTCAACCCAGGGATATGGGTTTCATATCCCTGGAAGATAACTGCCTAAATGTTTGGGTATTGGTCCTCTAATTAGATACATGTTTTCCTGAATCCATTCTATCATGTGGAAAAAGACTTAAAAAAATCGGTCTTGAGTGATAGCTTGCTTTAGTCTTACAGTACAGTCACCAAATGAAAGTTCTTTTAAAACCTACTCTAGTCCCAGTTTTCATCCAACCAAGAAGGGCCAACCCAGTTTTCATCCAACCAAGACCCTGGGTCTTCAAATACCAGGGGTCAAATTAAAAATGAGACTGCATATTCAAGAAAAAAAAAAGTCTTGGTTTTAGACTTACAAATAAAAGCACAAATACCCTTGGTTTAACCTTCTTGTAACCATTTACTCACGATGTACTTACGTTGTCATCCAAATGCTTAAACAGAAAAGCTTTCCCCCATGGCAGTGACCTTCTCTCTGTTTTCTGAGGTCTTGTTCCCCAGATTCACATGTCAGGAGAACATATAACTCCTATAGCACATGCTACCAGACCACCCCATTTGTAGTTTTACTACATTTCTGTCAAAGAAAATGGGCAATGGCTTTGCCTTCAGCTGTCTCTTTTTACTGGCATCTTAACTTCAACATCTTTCACCACCTGGGGCTTAAGAGGCTTCTTAAAATTGAGAAAGGACAAGTCCAGCTCTTTTTTTTTCCATAAGCCTGTGCTGTGCAGGTCCCACTTGGTTATCAATGGCAGTGTTATGAAAGTTCAGCAAGGCTAAACACTCGTTAACTACTTACAAGCTTTTTTGGCTCAGCAAGTAAATCCTTCAACAGTTCTCCTTGCTTATTCTGCTATCCCATTAGACAGGATAACTTTTGGGCTAAACAAGAAAGGTTTTCACAGCCATGTGCCTTTGCAAGCAGAAAATTCTGACTGCTTAGGGCACATTTCTTGCAGAGCCCAGGTGGCTATTTATACACAACAGGTTTTTCCATTCCAAAATCAGAATGCAACTCTGAGTTGCATAAGGTATCCTAAGGACCACAGCAATACAGATAATAAATAATCATCTCACCCTAACACATACCCTGAGGTCAGGAAAGCAGATTGGTTGTTGTTGCCACTTCTTCTTGGAGAACACCTGCCTCCTTTTCCTTCAGAGTACTGGCAGAACAGGAGTACTGAACTAGATCTACTGATGGCTGGTGTTAAGGGGAAATTCAGCCAGCATCATATTATGATCACTTTGGCCCACATTAATCTCACTTGAACTCCAGTTAAGTCCCTTGTGAACTTTATGACCAAATCACTTTTGGGGTCCAGCAAGAGCTAGGAAGCCCATGATTTAGAAATGGCAGTGGAATTTAGGTCAAATGATGAGTCTTTTTGGCTGTAAAGTTTAGAAGTTAAATCCTTACCTGGATGAAGTAAATTGTCATTTACAACAAATATCCATCAGCAGTCTTGCTTCGTTTTCAGTCGGGAGCATACCTGGGCCTGGGTAATAGGTTTGTAAGTTTCTAAGGACATGAAGGAGAGGCTTTCTGCAACCTCAGTAGTACCTGCAGTGTTTCTTTGGCATAGTGAAAGCTGTGAAAATGAAATATTCCTTTTGCTCATTATATTCCACCTTCAGAGCTTACCAGTGCTCCACACAGTCACTAGTCTCTGAAGCAGCTCAAAGTCAGAATGTTCAGATCCTTTTCTGTGGCATGCACCCAGACTAATCATTGTACCTATCACTTCTGCAGCTAACTCCCTTTCACTGGAAACTCTCAGCTGAAGTCAAATTCTGTTGAAGATGATCCATGGATCCATACACTTCAGCTTACAAATTTTTGTTTTCTTTCTTCCTCTTCAAGCTGTTCCTACTTTTCAGCAGTTTCTATAATCTTTCTTCCTTCACCCAGTTTCGATCCCTGCTGGCATGTCTAGTAGCCTGTCAACCTCCATTTTCCCTTCTCTCTCCTTCTGTTTCCTTGCGGGACACCCTTTTGTCTCCAAAACCCCCTTATATCATCTTTCTACTGATCACTGCTAAATCTTCTCTTCCCCAAACCAATTCCTCTTAGCTCAGGTTCACATCTTTGATACTGCTTCACTGACATCTTGCCACTCCCTTGGCCTAGCTGGCAAGAACAGACCCATTTCCCTTCCTGTGCCCTCTTCATTCCTCCAGTCTTTCCTCTGTGTGGGGTTTCTACAGTCTGGACCTTCTTCATCTTCCACATAACCAATAGCCCTATCTTAAGTTTTATACCCAAGTCATCTGAAACTATATCTGTGTTTTCACTCATTAGTCAGGCTTGTGAGAGGTTTGGATTTCATTTACGTCTAGAGAATCATAGAAACATAGAATAGTTAGGGTTGGAAACGACCTTAAGGTCATCTAGTTCCAACCCCCCTACCATGGGCAGGAACACCTCACATTAAACCATGTCACCCAAGACTCCATCCAATCTGGCCTTGAACACTGCCAGGGATGGAGCATTCACAACTTCCCTGGGCAACCCATTCCAGTGCCTCATCACCCTCACAATACAGAACTTCTTCCTTATATCTAACCTGAACTTCTCCTGTTTAAGTTTGAACCCAGACTGTATGGGACATTAGTTGCCTCCGAAGCAGTGCTTTGAGGTTAGGTGGCAGGTTAAAGTCTAGCTGCCAGCCCAATGTGGGGAAGAATCCTGCCCTCCTCAGGGTCTGCATTGAGGAGGGAATGTTTGAGAAAGAACCAGGAAGAAGAGCTCTCCAGCCCAACTATATATCAGCAATACTGGAAACACCATGAAGTTGGAGGAAAGTTCACTTGATATAAGGCATTGTTTAAACTGTGAAGGTTATGTATAAAACCAAAGCTCCGGCATGGATGTTATTCCACTTAGAAGTATCTGTGTCCAGCTACTTAGGGTTTTGGAAGAAGTTAAAATGGAGTTAGGAGAAGGATGCCTTACAGGGTTTAGTTTTGTTACAGTCCTCTGTACTCCCTTCTCATCCCTCTTCAGCCCACTTAGTAGCAGAGCTCACCCTCCTCTTCCACATTCTGTTCATACTCCTTTTCCTCCTTGAGCAGCCACTGTGCTTGCAGGAAAAGCTTGGATAGGATTTCAGAAACTTGGGTAGGATTGGAATTCAAAGGATTCTCTCCTTTGATTTTTGTTCACAGCTTCAAACTCATCCTTTGTATCTTCTAAACTTCAGTCTTTTATTTGGACCCAAAGTACTAGCAGTAGCACCTTTACTGGTTACTTTTCCCTTCTTCTAAAAATGATAGAAAACATAAAAATAATCAAAATATGTAAAAAATAAAAATTTGTATTAACTAAAACTAATTAGCACACTAATTTCAATCCACTTTCTTGGCAAAAACAGTTACATCTGGCATTCTTCTTCATTATTTTCATAATTTCTGCCTCATAAGAGAAGCCACTGATTAATTTCAGTAAAATCAGGCAGATGTAAAGAAACCTCAAAATATTAAGTTCAAACAATTGCTTAATTTTAAGTAGTGCAACTGAAGCTATGAATTCAGTGATTGGGAAATCACTAACTAAAATGAGGAGAAAGACACTAAACAGAACTACTGCCTATGGAAAAGCTGCAGTAAGAACTGATCATCTCTCAGACTGTATGCTGCTTTAATAATACTTACCTAGGTTTCCATTTCTTACTTTTAAGCCATGTGTTTAATTTGTTGGGGGTTTTCCCTCATTTTCAGGGAAGGCACTGATTTCACTTGTTGTAAGCTTTTATTTTCCCTTTCAAAAGCCAAATATCTGGTCATCCCAACAGTCTTGTGGGGAATTTGTCATGCATCAAGCTGCACAAACTCACAAACTTGGCCTTAATTTTTAGACCATTCACATACTGGTCTATTGTTTCTGCAGGAGTCTGATATCTGGTAATAAATAAAAAATTACATCCAAATGTCACATATTTCTTGGAGCTGAAATAGTTCTGGAACTGATACATTAGTAAAGTTAACTTTGTGTTATCCTTTTGCATCACAGAGATGAGAGTATTTCCAATACATCATGCCCAATCACATAAAGAAAAGCAGATGCTTGTCATTTTCCTCACCATCTTGCTGGTACATAAATACCATTCAAGTGTTTGTCTCCCCCTTGTCCTATGTTAGGATAAGGCCTCTAAAAAACCCTGTTTGTCAAGGTGCCATATGTCTGATATTCTCACCATCAGTCCAGTGTAATAACAGTCCAGCTGTGCTGGGGTCACAGACACTTTGTCCAGGAACAAAGGCAAGGCATGAACTAACATGGTGTTTGCAATTGCTCTAGTCAGCTCAGCTAGGAGAGTGAAGTCCTTGACATAAATCAGAGTACCATGTAAACTGCTCTAATCTGGTTAATCTGGTAGCTCGCAGCAGTCACATATATCACTATAATGTTTGCCTATGCTAGAAAACCAGATCATTCAAGAAAAAAGACCTTTAAGAGTTAGGGTTGCTAACACACTGTTAAATACTCAACTCGGGCAGACACCATCATGTTTAGCATTGTGGCAGCTGGTCAGCCCATGGGTTTAACCACAACCAGCGGATGTGATGTTAAACACAACAGTCCCTGTCTGTGTTCAATGTTTAGCAGCATGTTTAGCATTGTCTTAGTTACCAAGATTCCTTGGGGTTGTGTTTTATCATGATGCAATTTTCCAGTGTGGAAGAGCTCCAAAAGGATAGATTTTACAACCATTGGAAGATAGGTCAGAATATAAAGTGACAAAGAGGAATAGGTGGGTTTAGGCAGTATGCTTGGCTTGTGGCTATTGAAGAGATCTTCCTCCTACACGTGATATTGCCACAGGTACAATCCCGGGAAAAGAGATCCTTTGTTTAAGAAGAAGGCACTGATAGCAGGTATTTTTCCCTGCTGGGTCTTCCATTGTGGAGCAGCCTCCACCTTTTTTTATGAAAAACCTCAAATTAACTGACTGGGGGGCATCCTGGCAGGATGCATCTATTTTCTTAGTTTTTATTGGAAATGACAGGTTGAGCGAATCAAGATGGCAAGTTGAGGGAGCCTCCTGCTTTGGCACAGGAACTGTTGCAGTAGAGCAAATCAAGATATCTTGGATTTTTATCCATAGCTGTGTGTATATTTAAAACAATTACCCAAGTGTGTGGAGTCATCCTGATGGGTGCTTTTTAAATAAACATGGAGAAATAGCTGAAGCTAAACACATTACGTCATCATATAACTCCTGTAGTTTGAATAGTCCGCTGAGCCTCTTCCCAGGTATTTAAGGAGCAGCAGTATTCAGCCCTCAGATAAACTTTGGAGAAGCTTGGGCCTGGGTTAACAACCAAGTTTTGAATCTTGCCTCCTTTATCTATTAGGAAATAAAGTCAATATTTGAACAGAACATTCCTGAACTTTGAGAAATTATGAGTATGATTCAAATAGGGTGTTGGACCTTTGTTTCCTCCAATTTTCTTCACTGAGAGTGGTGGGTCCCAAGGTGACAGGTCCTCGATTCTTGAAACAGTTGCAATGCAATGGGTTACAATGGATCCTTAGATTCTTGATGCAGGTTCCTGTATGAACCTTGAAGCTCTTCCGCCAAACACTGCAAAACCTGTCCAACTTTGCAAAAGTAAACCTCTGAAAAATATATCTAACTATGCCCTGTGCCCTTCTTTTGCTTAATAAACAATGGAAAATTTTAAGGAGAAGAATTCATGTTCCTGAAACATTAAAATTAACTAAAATATGTAATGTCAGGGAATGTAAACATAAGGCACCTTTCACTAGTGGCATGTCAGCTCATAAAGGCGATTCAAATTTAAGTGAAAATAAGTTGTCTTAGAGACATGTTTTAGAAAAATAGTTGTTTATTGGAAAAATACTTTCCGCCCTTACATTTGCAACCATACTGCCTATGCACAGCAGGACAAAGAAAAACAAAATTCTGTTGACTGACATTTTCTGGCTTTTGAGTAAAACAGGCCAAACGATAGTTGGTGGCTTGATCCAAAGTGTCATGTGAACGACAGTGGATCAGATGTAAGACCTTACTATTTTAATACAGTCCCAAGCAAAATATAAATAAATAGTTACCTTAGTACTTACATGGTTTAGGAAATTAGTCTATAAATTGTTATTGCTTACTATTCTCCTAACTCGTCTTTAGGAATAATACAGGGATGTTGTACGGGAGGCTAGGGACCAGGTTAGGAAAGCTAAGGCCCAGTTATAATTAAACTTTGCTAGGGATGTTAAGGATAACAGGAAGGGATTCTATAGGTACATAGCAAATAAAAGACAGACTAGGGACAAAGTGAGCCCTCTCTGGAAGATCTCAGGAGAACTGGCTACCCTGGATTTGGAGAAGGCTGAGGTTTTGAATGACTTCTTTGCCTCGGCCTTCACTGGCAAAGGCTCTGATCACACCACCCAAGTCTTGGAAGAAAGATGCAGGGACTGTGAGAATGAAGACCCAAGGCCCACTGTAGGAGAGGAACTGGTTCGAGACCATCTTAAAAATCTGAACGTGCACAAGTCCATGGGACCTGATGAAATCCATCCGCGGGTCCTGAAGGAGCTGGTGAATGAAGTTGCTAAGCCACTGTCCATCATATTTGAAAAATCATGGCAGTCAGGTGAAGTTCCGGACGACTGGAAAAAGGGAAATATAACCCCCATTTTCAAGAAGGGGAAAATGGATGACCCAGGGAATTACAGACCAGTCAGTCTCACCTCTGTGCCTGGCAAAATCTTGGAGCAGATTCTCCTGGAAGGCGTGCTAAGGCACACGAAAAACAACAAGGTGCTTGGTGACAGCCAGCATGGCTTCACTAAGGGGAAATCCTGCCTGACCAATTTGGTGGCCTTCTATGATAGGGCTACAGAATTGATGGACGGGAGTAGAGCAGTTGATGTCATCTACCTGGACTTGTGTGAAGTGTTCCACACTGTCCCACACGACATCCTTGTCTCTAAATTGGAGAGTCATCAATTTGATGGATGGACCACTCAGTGGATAAAGAACTGGCTGGATGGCTGCACACAAAGAGTTGTGGTCAATGGCTCAATGTCCGGGTGGAGACCAGTAACGAGTGGTGTCCCTCAGGGATCAGTGTTGGGACCGGTCTTGTTCAACATCTTCGTCACTGACATGGACAGTGGGATTGAGTGCGCCCTCAGCAAGTTTGCCGATGACACCAAGCTGTGTGGTTCGGTTGATACGCTGGAGGGAAGGAATGCCATCCAGAGGGACCTTGACACACTTGTGAGGTGGGCTGATGCCAACCTCATGAGGTTTAACCATGGCAAGTGCAAGGTCCTACACCTGGGTCGGAGCAATCCCAGGCGCAGCTACAGGTTGGGCAGAGAAGAGATTCAGAGCAGCCCTGCGGAGAAGGACTTGGGGGTGTTGGTTAATGAGAAAATGAACATGAGCCAGCTTCAGTGCGCGCTCACAGCCCAGAAAGCCAACAGTATCCTGGGCTGCATCAAAAGGAGCGTGACCAGCAGGTCAAAGGAGGTGATCCTGCCCCTTTACTCTGCTCTTGTGAGACCTCACCTGGAGTATTGTCTGCAGTTCTAGTGTCCTCAACATAAAAAGGACATGGAACTGTTGGAACAAGTCCAGAGGAGGGCCACGAGGATGATCAGGGGACTGGAGCACCTCCCCTGTGAAGATGGGCTGAGAAAGTTGGGTCTGTTCAGCTTGGGGAAGAGAAGGCTGCGTGGAGACCTCATAGCAGCCTTCCAGTATCTGAAGGGGGCCTATAGGGATGCTGGGGAGGGACTCTTCATTAGGGACTGTAGTGATAGGACAAGGGGTAATGGGTTAAAACTTAAACAGGGGAAGTTTAGATTGGATACAAGGAGGAAGTTCCTTACTGTAAGGGTGGTGAGGCACTGGAATGGGTTGCCCAGGGAAGTTGTGAATGCTCCATCCCTGGCAGTGTTCAAGGCCAGGTTGGACAGAACCTTGGGTGACATGGTTTGGTGTGAAGTGTCCCTGCCCATGGCAGGGGGGTTGGAACTTGATGATCTTAAGGTCCTTTCTAACCCTAACTATTCTACGATTCTATGAAGACCACTTCTCGAGTACATCTGCACATACTGAAAATCTCTTACTTTAGGCATTCTTTTTGAAAACCTCGACTCTTGGACAGTCGTCTTGATGCAGATACAGCAAATTATCTGTTCCTGTTTGGTCCTTTTCAGCAAGCCAGCTGCCAGATAAGACTTACCGCAGTGCTTTTGTCACTTGTAGATCTACGTCAATGTGGTTGCAAATTCTGGAAACTCAAGACATGAAGATAAACTCTTGTGAAGTGTGATGACGTTTCATGCTTTTCAGCAGGGAACAAGTCAGACAGGAGCCAGCTGAGAGAGCCAGCCACCCTTGGTCCTGGCAAGAATAGGTCCTGTAAGGAGACAAAAGGAGTCTGTAGGCAAAGTTCTGGTTTTCTTTTGTTTTGTTTAATTAATGTCCCAGACAATTATGTGAAGACAATATCTGATTTATCAAGCAGTTAGGATATTATCAAGGCTTCCAACACAGCACTGTCATATATAGTGTGGTGTACATAAAGGATATCCTCTCAGGAGCAGTTTCAGTAAGTGAAAGGGTTGGAAGCTACGTAAGGTAAACAAGGCTGTTGGGAGTTTTTTCCTGGTGTAGCCACACTTACCGTTGCCAAAAAGTAGGCAAACTTTTGCCTCCAAAAATAAAAAGTGATTATACTCTGTCTAACCAAGCCTACTCTTAACTACAGCACTGCCTATCACAAACAGAAGGGCAGATATGTATTATGTGGTATTATTTTTGGAAAGTTTCCATTCAGGAGTTTGCAAGAATAATATGGGTGTGTTGCTGGTGCAGAGCTGAGTGTCTCCATGAGTGTGAACTCATGGTCCTGTAGACCACTGCATTATTATCTTTGCAGCTTTGTATGGGCACTGGACACTGATTTTTTATTCACCAGTGTATCACCCAGCTCCACTGACATCTGTAGATGCTTCTGCACAGACTTCAGTGATGATTCCAGGAATGATGATCTTTGCCTAGCAGATCACATGCAGTCAGCAAGGCAAGAGACTGTGTACTTCCCTCCACATTCAGCTATGTTTACCTATCCTCAGACAGGCCCCTGTGATACTTCTTCTGCATCTGCTCTGCCCAGACTTTTTCTGCATCACTAACAAGGACAAACTTTGGTCCAACTTTCAGTCTTCTGTGCAATCTTGAATAGGGATGATATCATAAGCTCTGTGACAGGAAGAGCGGGAGTCTCAGCATGGCTGGTTTGCTAAGGTATCTTTGGCTGAAGACCAAAATCCTAGCCTGCCTTCATTACATGTGTACGTGAGCAGGTCTGATCCCCATCAAATGGTGTTTCATGTCTGTTTTTCAAATGGTGAATAAATAGGCTCTTACACCAGGCAATTTTAATCTAATTTTGTCTCTGCTACTGGCATCTGCATGATCTTGCAGAAGTCACTCTATCTCTTCATGCCTCTGTTTCTCTGTTTCTCCTCCCCATCATCCTTTGACACCTTACCAGTTGAGCTGCTCAGTTTCAGGTACTAGGGTATCACAGGGTCCCTAATGTGCTTACAGTATTCAGCCCTGACTATAATTTGGAACTCCTGGCACTTTCATGCCACAAACAACAACAGCCCAGTATGGGTGATTGCAGGTTTTAATTCAACAGTAAATGAAGGGGTCCTGGATGTGTGCTCTCTTTGCACTAGCAGTTGAATTCTTTGTGTGCTGCTTCTGACTCATCCAGATGGGTTTTAAAACCAGAAATTACAAGGTAGGGTGCAAGTTGCTATAATGTGCCTGGATGCACACTTTTAACTTGCTGTATGCTTTACGAAGTATCCTAAGCAAGGGCATGTTGAACTTTTGCCTGTTAGGCACACTGGCAGCTTGTCAGGGTCTCAGACAATTTGAATTAATTAATTAGCACAGCTACGTTATCCATCTGGGAGCCCTCTAGGCTTCAGGTTCCAATATGCTCTGTTTCATCTTGAGGAGGGGAAACACTGTTTAGTCACGACAGGGCACTGTATTGTGGCGTTTGGGCTCCATGGGTTCATCTCAAGAATTAAAATGGGCAAGCAGCTGCAGGCTATCACATAGCACTTCCTGGGTGACTGCTTGGTGATGTGCAAGATGCATAGGAGAGATGGCTGGATCTCAGTTTTGTGTTCCCCGGCATTTCAGTTCCCCACTAGCAAAATGGCAATAGTAACACATAGGCTTCCTGGCTAGTCTGTTATCTGGAGCATCAATTATTTAGAGGAACGTATGTTTCCAATATTTTTCAGCTGCTAACCAAAACCACTGTGTAAATCTCTGAGTTTGAGTCAAGCACAGAATTTATATAGCAAGTATTCACAACAATGTTTGTAGAGATAGCAAAACACACCCAATTCCAGTAACCTAAGAGGAGTCACAATTCTAACCCTGGGATAAACTGCAAGTTTCATTTGTTCTCTTTAAGTAAACTTTTCCTGTAATATTTCTACACATTGCAAAGAACAGTCACTTTTCTCAGGAAAAAAAATTCCCTCTTGCTAACAAAATTGTGAGATTTGTTCAGAACAGCCAAGTCAAAAACATGGGAACAAAATTTTTTAAAAAGAGGACTGAAACAACCCCCAAGTCACAGGTACAACTGCTTTGTCCAGCTGCTGTCTGTTGTCTAGAGAGTGTCATATTTCATAAATTAAATACATCTTCCTTGTAAATATGTTAACTGTCTTTTGACAGGCCCCAACTATCTTCCCACAACTGAAGTGCCCCAGGCCATGGCAAAGACACAGCATTTTTTCAAAGTCCCACCTACTGTCATGCTTCTTAGGCATAGCATTGCTTTTTCACTCTGTTTTCCAGGTCACAAATGACACAACACAGTAGTAAAATATTAGCCAGTTATCACAGACAAAAGTTTTGCCTTGTAAATCCTTTTCCACACTCAGAGTTGCACTGGTTTAATTAAAGGTGTGTTTTAAAATCAAATTAGTTAAGCCAGTGCAAATACTGGAATCTATTTAAAGTAGGTTTGTATTGATTTAGCTTAATCTGATCAGGAAATGACTTAAACTAAATTGACACAGAGCAGATTTAAATCAGTCTGAGTGGCCACATCTTGTGTCAGTTTAACTAAATCATTCTAAAACCAATTTTGTGTAGACCGCTGTTGTGCTACGGAGGATGAGCTAAAGAGGTGACTGAAATAACCAGATAAATGAATAACAATTAGGACCTGATTCAGCACTGCAATACTTCCGTGTAAGTCTGCTGTCACAGTGTTGTAGTTGTCCACAGCTGTAGTAAAACTCGGAATGGAGCATGGTTTGATAGCGCTTCCTCTAGGCATTTTGTAAGGTTTCCAACCTTAAAACGGGACAAGCTATTTTGGACTTTTTTTTAAATAGCCCTGGCAGTAATTCTCAGATACAGTAATTTCCTGAGTCTCATAGTCATTTTTCATTTTTTATTTAAAATTTCTGAAAACTTCAAGCTTAGAGTAAACAATAATATTAAACCTTGCTTGACTCCTTTTAAGAATTATTGCTTTCTAATCAAGGTTGACAGTCTTTCCTTTCTAACACAAATGAGGTAAGCACGTTTTCATAAATAGTGCATTTCCATCCAAGATCTGCTCTTTTAATTATGCTTAGGAAAGCAAGGGGGGAGGGGATATCGCATTTTCAAATAAAATTCCCCTAAATGAAATCCTACAGAAGCTTAAGGTCTGAGGTAGGTTTCTTGTGGTGCTTTTATGTTGTAAATACTGAGGTTTTAGATTACTTATTTAGCTTTAGTCACCAGCAGAGCTGGCTTTAAAATAAAATGAGAATGCTGAAACAGCTGTAGCAGTGTACATGAGTCACTTGGACCTTGGCAGAGATGTGAACATTAAGGTAGGAGTATCGCTGCTCTGCAAGCTAACCAAGATGCCTTGTTGTTGGGTGTACCCCCAGGCAAAAAATGAATGATATCTGCTAGTCTCATAACAAACACCATGCTGCAGAAAACCAAGCAAGGCATATCAGTGATTTTTTTTTTTTTTTAAACAGGTGGTCACCAGTGTTTAGGGGTTAAATAGGTCTTCCAGTGCTATTACAGGCAGGCAACAGGAATGGGTATTGTAGAATCAGATGTGCATGTTGGAGGGTCTGTCCTGGTGACCTGCATGAAGAGGGAGGAAAAAGACACTTGTCTAGACGAGCTCAGGCTGTAACAGAGGTGGCAGAAAGATGAACATAACACTGATAAATTGGTTTTTTTGGAGGCTTCACTGAAAATCAGCACAGATGGCTCTTTCACCCACACCCTAGCAAAAATTGTGATTTATGGTTGGAGGCAGCAAGTATGTTGCCATGAATTATGGCAGTTTAAGAAGCTCACATTTGTAATTGGGAGCTGGCAATTATTTACCATGAAATGTGATCATTACTGTCAGGTGACGATGACATTCCCCTGCTTTATGCATTCAGTAACTTTGAAGACTCTGCATGAACTCTTTGGGGGATGGAAAGAGGAGAGCTGGCTTCTCTCCATCACCGCTACCAAAACGGGTGTGTGTTTTGGCAGTATTTTTGCTTGGAATGTTCAATTCAGATTAATTTCAACCTCTACTGTCCCAAGTGTATGCTGGTGCCACTAAACATACGCGTTTGCCAACTGTGAAGTGCAGGTCATGTCATTCAGCATGGAAGTGAAGTGATTCCTATCTATCTCCCCTGTGTGTACCTTTCAGATTAGCTCCACTGAGATCAATGGCATTACAAGTGTTTAAAAGCAGCAGTGGTGAGAACTGTTCTATTCTATTCTAACAGTCCCCAGAGAGGCAGTAGATTATCAGGCAATTTGGGGTGAGAAACTGTGATTGTTTGGTCATTTAATAATCATCTTAAGTAAAGAGGCAGCATCACATTCTGACTGCAACCGTTCACATAAACATGGAAGCAGCTGGGAGGTACTGAGAAGAAAAGGTCCTTTTCTCTCCAGTCACCGCTCTCCCTACTCAAGGGATCGATTTTGTTTGGAGCTGTGTGAAGCAAGCCCATGTTACAATATTTTGGGATGCAGGTCCTTCTGAGACTGTGTTGTAGCTGGTTCTTCTTTTTATCTAATTCATAGCAAATACATATGACTACCACCATTATTAATCAGAGATTTCATAGACTTAGATTTCATTTCATTAGATTTCATAGATTTTATTTCCTACTCTTATGAAGTTAACACATTTTATTTTCTACAATAGAAGACAGGCATTTTTATATTTTATATTTTCCTGTGTACCTGGCATCTTAATTGTCCCTTCCATGTATATATTGTAAATTCAAACTACTTCTGAGAGTTTCTTGATTCCCATAATACCAGCCTCACAGTTGTGTAAGGACA